CAAAAAACACTTCAACTTATTGTAGCTGTTTGATACAGTGAAGTAATCAGTGATAATTCTCTCATTTATTTTTATTTCTTCATTATCAGTAAAGTTCAGACTACATCTTCACTATACCAGTTAGCCTCCTGAACATTCTATGCTGCATGCATGTACCCACTGCAGTGTCCTCTGCCCATCTCAGAGTGCGATGCCCACATCTCTAAGGAAGAACAAACAGACGGAATAGTAAATGGTGGATATTGCAAAACAACCACTACAACACGCTGTAATAATTATGGTGCTCGAAGTGTCCCTTTAAGTTCAGTTAAACTAAACTAGCACATTCAGATGCGAAAACACAAAGCAGATATAGAAAGTGCATATCTTTATATATATTTTATTTTTCCACTAGGAAGTCTGCTTTAGTAGCGATCAGGTCACCACTGACATTTTATCACCGTAGCCCATTCTGGTCACTAACCACTATCGACTCTGTAGTGATAAAACATATCAAGCCATCAATCTCAATACATTCCTGATTTTGAAGTGGTTTAGTAAGATTTTACTTATTTAAGTTATAACTTTAACATATATATTTGTGGTGTTGTGTGCCTGCTCACATAAAATAGCAAAGGAAAAGTGACATTTTAAAGAAATAATTGCACGTATTAAAAGTACCTGCACACATTTTGTACTGTAAACATAAGTAAAGGCCACTTTTCAGGGTATCTAAAGGTTGAGCCTGTTCTTTTGGTGGCTGACATCTTTAAAGAAACACTAAAGTGTTAAGAATATAAACATGCATTCCTAACACTATAGTGTTGGATCAGGGGTAGGCATCCTTTGACACTCCAGATGTTCTGGACTACATGTCCCTTGATGCTCTGCCAGCTGTACACAGCTGTGAGAACATTAAAGGAGATGCAGTACACAACATGTAGAGTGCCGAAGATTGCCAATGCCTGGACTAGATATTTAGGTTTCCAGCAGGGCCGGACCGGGAAAAAAATTAGGCCCGGGCATTTTTCAATCAGAGCGGGCCCCTAAGAAGGGGGCGGGGCCAGAGAGGGTGTGTTTTGTCATCACTAATGACAAGCACGCCTCCTCTCAAAGTGACCATGTTGGTTCAATGCGCAGAGCTGCGCTTAAGAGCTCTGGCATTAGAAAAAGGCCCTGTATTTGTTCTGCGCAGCGCAAGCAAATGTAATAACATGCTTGCGCTGTGTTTGCTTTTAAATTGTCTCTGGTGTCTCAACAAGTGGGATACCAGAGGACAAAAGGGCCAGGAAAGTGTATGGTGCATGTGTTTGGAGCCTGCTTGTGGGATTGCGTGTGTGTAGAGTGTGGTGTGGTATTGTGTAAATAGGTCAATTTCATTTGTGTTTGTGGTGTAATATGTGTGGCTAGGGGCTGTAGAGAGTGTGTGTATAGGGGGCATAGTGTTATAGGGGATGTAGCGAGTGTGTGCATACGGGCTGTAGTGTGTGTGTATAGGTGACGTAGTGTGTGTAGAGAGAGTGTGTTTAGAGAATGTTGTATGTGTTTGCTGACAAGGAATGTAGTGTGTGTGTAGGTGGTGCAGTGTGACTGTAGGATATCTAGTGTGTAAAGGACCCAGAGTGTGTATAGGAGATTGTGTGTGTGTGTGTGTGTGTGTGTGTGTGTGTGTGTATAGAGGATTAAGAGTGCATATAAGGTAAGGGATCTAGCGTGTATCTTGAGCGTAATGTATGTAGTGCTGTAGTGTGTGTGTATATGTATATATATATATACATATATATATACATACATATTTATACATACACACACACACACATATATATATATATATATATATTTGGACGTATTGTATGTGTGAGGGGCGCAGTGTGTGTGTATGTAAGAGGGGTGCTGTGTGTGAGGGTGTTGTTATCTGCCGTCACATTCTAATTTTCTTTGTCTGTTAACTCACTGAAGGTTATTTTATATAATATATATATATATATATATATATATATATACACACACACACACACACACACACACACACACACATATACATATATATACACATATATATATATATATATATATATATACACACACACACACACACACACACACACACACACACACACACACACACACAAATGGAACAAATTGAGAGCACTCATTGGATTTAGTAGACAAAAAAATATATTAAATCAAACGCATATAAATCAATGTTTCGACCATCTTGATAAAGACCGCTAGACGGTCGAAACGTTGATTTATATGCGTTTGATTTAATATATTTTTTTGTTTACTAAATCCAATGAGTGCTCTCAATTTGTTCCATTTGTATATTTTGCACGGAGAGGCACCTGGTCATTGCTGAATTAATGCTTTTGCTATGGGATGAGTGCCAGAAACTATTGTGATATACACATATATACATATATATATATATATGTGTGAGCGAGGGTGCTGTCTGTCTGGGGGGCGCTGTGTGTGTCTGGGGGGCGCTGTGTGTGTCTGGGGGTGCTGTGTGTGTGTGTGATTTTTTAATTTAAATTATTATTTTTTTTTATTAATAATAATAATTTTTTTAAAAAGTTATATCCCCCCCCTCCCTTCTTACCTTTAGCCTGGGACAGGGGGGAACCGTTTTGCCTGGGACGGGGGGAAGCCGTTCTGCCATGGGAGAGCCATGCTGCCTGATCCCTGGTGGTCCTAGTGGTGAGCGTGATCTGAGCCTCTCCTCCCTCCTCTCCTGAGCCGGTCCTCTCCTCCCTCCCTCACACCCCAGCAAGCGGCCACCTGGAAGTGTCTCTGGGCCGGTTAAGGGAGATCTTTGATCTCCCCACCGGCCCATGGAGGCACATAGCGCGGGCCGGCGCTCCTGTGATCTCCCCTGCCGGCCTTGGCCCCACGGCCATCGCGGCCCACCGGGCATTTGCCCGGTATGCCCGATGGCCAGTCCGGTCCTGGTTTCCAGCCCCACTCAGAGTAGAGTTAAAATGTTTTTTTAACTTACCAAGGTACGTTTCACCTCTGATCTAGTCTCACCACTGCTGGCTCTGACTCCATGGCTGAGATCATCAATCTTGATGACCTCAGCCAATCCAATGCTTACATTTGCGTAGTGTTCAGCGTCTCCATGCCAAGCATGGAAATGCAGAACATCGGTGCTGCACACAGTGCAGTACTAAGACAGGAAGCATCCTCAGTGGCAGTCTGAGTTACTTCACCTAGGAGTGATTCTAGGGAGTAATGTTTTCTCTGAAAAGGCAGCGTTTACATTGCTGAGCTTGCAGGGACACCAGAACCACTACATTGAGCTGTAATGGTTCTGGTGACTGTAGTGTCTCTAAGTTGTCGTTGGGCAGAAGCACAGATTATCAGAAAAAAGCCAGTGTAAGTAACTATTGTGCGCAAGTTCCAAGGCATCTCAAACAAAATAATACACAATAATCACAGGCAATCTTTCCTTTTACATTTGAGGGTCAAGCAGTGATCTGTTTTACTGGGGCTACCTGCCCGGCTTTTATGCAGGTCTCCCACCTGGTGGAAACTCCCCTGGGGGACCAGATGGACGACTGGGACACATATTGGACATTAACCAATTACAGACATACAGCTTTAAAGACTCCCACCATTACATGACAACCCTCCTCTCTATCCTGAAGATAATTGGGAAGTAATCCAATTATCTCCAAGGACAGAGGCAAAACTCCATTAGCCACATGTTAGCAAAAGACATAAAATTACACAAAAATATATAACTGTGCAGCTATTGCATAAAACAGGTACATTCAACATATCCCCAGATAGCTTAGATCCGAGCGCACATTATTACCGAATAGCGCTCAGATCACATACATACAGTTCAATCGCCATGGAGCCAAAGTCTTTCCCATAGTCTTTTGTTATACGAATGGGCTCCATGGCAAAGCTATCTGGGTTAACACTGTTCACTCAGTCAATCTACCGAACGCCCAAGCAGAAAGGCACGAACAAGCCTTTCTAAAGGGGAAAAGAACAGCGTTTAACATGGGGCCATAGTCCAGAGGGAGCAGGCAAGCAACCAGGCTTCTCCAGTGCCCAGTGGTGAGGTTGGTTCCGCCACAATTTGCAAGAGAATCTGACAAAGTGCTCCTAATGTACCATAGGTATTTGGCAGGACGCCTTCTGATATGTCACTAGGTCACAGGTGCCAAATTGTGGCAGGCATGAAACCATATCCAAACTTACCTCTTGTACCACTATGGCATTTTAGATTTTGAGATAGGCAACCTTTGGCACTCCAGATGTTGTGGACTACATCCCCCATAATGCTCTTACACCCAAAATGCTGGCAAAGCATCATAGGAGGTGTAGCCCAAAACATCTGGAGTGCCGAAGGTTGCCTATGCCTGCGAATGTAAACTTGTTTGAGCAGGGCCCTCAACACCTTCTGTTCCTGTGCGTCCAACTCGTCTTGTTGCAAATATTTGTCTGTTGTACAGCACTAAGAAATATGTTGGCGCTTTATAAATAATCACACTACTGACACACTTCATTAATACAAGCAATATTTTCTGCATTATTGTAAAACCCCTAAATGTATTTACACCCCTCATAGAATTAGAGACCATAGTGAGGCATCACAAATTCCTTGTAGTGGGGCTCCCATTACATAGACTGTCAGCTCTAATCCATAGCCTTAGAAAATGTCCCTCCTTTAAAACCAGATTAAAAACTCAACTGGACAGTACATTTATTAAAAAATTAAATGTAATTCCATCACTTTATTTTAAAACCTTTATGACAGGGACTAGATATAAAGACTAGATTGTAAACTCATTGAGACAAGATATCCAAGAATGCCACTAGATTATAAGACCTTTGCACAATCTCCCATTCATCTTATTTGTAAGCAGTTGGTCCTTGTGTAGACAGCCTTTGTGCCTTCATCTAAAGGAGAGACTATATTTAAGGAATACTATAATTAAAGTTAGACAAAAGAAGCAAAGTGAACTGTTTTGTGGTTTGCACATGATAAAATAACAGGCCCAGAATTATGTTTTTACAGCTTTGTTTAATATGTACATTTTTTGGAAATCATAAAAACCAATAAGCAATAAATATTTTTACAGCAACACAGTTCATATCACTCACAGAGTTAGCCAGCATTATTCCACCAGTAGTGAGACATTCCACCGTCAAAATATAAAAACGCAGAGATCTATGGGGAATTCCTTAAAAAAGTGAGCTGACAACCAACATGCTAAACCAGGGGGGTAAGCAACCTTCAGCACTCCAGATGCTGTGGACTACATCTCCCATAATGCTGGCAAAGCATCAGGAGGGGTGTAGTCCACAACATCTGCAGTTAACGAAGTTGGACTACAATAGTGGTAAACTAACGTAACAGAGATAACGGGAAAAATGTTTTTTGGCCTATAAGATGGTTGTCAACTCACTATTTAAGGAATAAAGCCCTTGTTAATACAGGTTAACAAAACAATCAGGTAGAAAATAGAAAATCCCATTGGGTATCATTTAGCGAAAGTCACTCAAAGTTTTCACCTATGACTGGGATCCCTTTAAGGCACAGAAGAATGATGCCTTCAGCGCCATTTTTATATTTGAAGCGTGCTTTGGTACACCCAATCAAACAAGAACAAATGCTAGGATGATTTAGGTCTAAAACACAAATCCGATGTAGAAAAATTTCAAAACAAACCCTCCATCACCACAGATCAGTTACTATAATACAACAGTATCGTACAATGCAGAATAAAAAAAACAAAACAAAAAACCCCAAAGGATCGTGGGAAAGAATAGTCAACTTTCTGCACTCCAGCTTCTTGTGGATTGCAGCTCCCACAAGGTTAACAGAACATTATGGCTGGAGGGATAGAAGCAGCCTAATATGAACAGCAGGACAAAAAGCCGTTGAATAGTTTGCGGTTTACATTGTAGACTGTATAGAACCATTTTACACAGTGCTCTAAACCAGGAGTGGAGATAGAGTGCGTGAAGATTTGTGGGAAATACTGACCCCTGCTGTTCAAAATAAAAATAGCCGTTATTACTTTATAATTCAGCTTCTCCCCAGTAG